AAACAGCTAAGATACTGCGCAGAACCCTCAAACTCCCAGGCCTCTGGTAGAGGACCTGAGATTGAGGAAGACACATATCACCCAAAGGGATGAGAGGGGATTTTTTTTTTAATTTAATTAATTCCTGTAAAATTGTAATTGCCTGTAAAATAAGACATCCATTTTATAAAATCAATTGACCCCCTATCTGCCTATACCAACCATTCTCTCACACACAAGCAAACCATTCTCAACATAGACACATGTAAGTACACACACAGATTTTCCTCCCTCCTTTCCTCCAGAGGAAGAAAAAAAAATTGAGAGGAAGGTAAGAGGAAGGGGCAGCTGCACTAAAAAGGGAAAAAAAGAAGGGGAAGAAAAACTGGATAGACGTAAGAGAGGAGGGGGTATAAAGGAAAGGAAAAGAAGAGATATTTGTTTGGTTAAATGTACCGGGCAAGCAGTCCATCTCAACCCTCAGCCCAGTGATTTCTAATTTTCTTAGTGAATGTAAAATGGTCCCCCCAATTCACAATTAATTATTTGGGGGATATAACCCTCATTATATCAAGTAAATACGGTAACATGAAAAAAATATTTATTATCCTGGTAGATTTTCTTCTTCATGAAGATGAAAGAGAAGTTATTTTCAACAAAGCAATCCTAATGGGTGGCAGGCAATGAAGGGTTCACTATAAGGAAGGCAGAAGGTGGGTATCTGTATCTTTCTTTAAACCTTTCTTCCCTGCTCGTTCTATTTGGAATTAATTATATCAAAACTAGATTAGTTTTCTTTAGAGCTTTGGTGAGGTACAAGGTGAATGAAGTGGCTTTGAGTGCTGTATAACCATGGCCTCCTATTAATCTACACTTATTCTGAAGTAAATACACCAAAGTTTCACAGATGGAATAGAAGCGAAGTGTTCTGTTGGTCCACATAAATTTATAGAGAAGAAGGTCTCCAGTATCCAGTACTCTAGCTAACCCTCCCCACAAAAAATTAGGAGTATCTTCTTAATCATCCTATTAGGCAGAATATAAGTAGTATAAATGTTAACAAATAATATTTTTGTTTCAACTGATATTTTAAAAGGATTCAATTAATAAGTAGAGAGTATTATTTATTAGCTTTTAATTATGCACTTCTTCCTAAATATTCAGTACCATTTACAAATGAAAAAAGCCAAAAAAGGAAACGTTTATATTTAATATTTTTACCTGATACAGTTACTGAAGTTCCTGGGTCAATAATTCCACTATTTGGCCGCACACAGTATCGACGAGGTGCTGTAGTCTTTACCTTAAAGCATACTTTTCTGTCAGATGGATTTCGTAGTTTAAGATTTGTAGTGACTACATCTGTGAAAGGACCTGTGAAAAATTTCAAGGATTATTTTTAGGAATTAATTCTTAAAATGTTGACAAAATGAAAAATCCATAACCATACTTAGAAGATAACAGAATGTGACTAGTTAGTATGCTTTTTTAAAAAGTGTTTCAATTCATATTTCAGTGCTTGTGCTATCATTTCTTCCTATGCTTACAAAAATAGGGAAACTTCTTTTTCAGTGGTTCTCACTTTCATATAAGTCCTATCAATCACTCTGTTGAAGAACCTGAGTCCCACCAAAATAGAAACAAACTACTTTTTCCAAGAAAGACATATATGCTTTTGTCTTATATAATGACATAATTACATATATGTAATAAGAAATGCATTTTCTTATTATATTTACCAGTTACAGTAATTTTAAGAACATTAACAATTGCTATCATATTGCTGACAATACTGCTATAACTGTACAATAATGAGTAAGAACTAATTGGGACTAAAATGGTGTTTTTCACTGTGGTAGCAATCTTCCCTTAGGTCAAAATGGAACAGAAGAACAAGTAACGGGAGAAAGGGAGAGCTATCTAGTACAAAAGTATTTTCGTTCCTAAACCCAACATTCTCAGAGGAAACTACAGACCAAGGCTCCTGGAAACACTCTATGGAGATGCTCAGTTCCTATGCCTCAATAAACTCAACTGGAGACTAGGAGCTCTACCCTTTTCCCTTAGAAAGGTTCTTTGCTAATGTGAGAAAGTTAGTGTATCCAACATAGACTATTTCTGAGTATTACCAGAAATGTGCAGAATCAATATAATTTTAGAGGACTACTTCCTTCCACTATATCCCATCAAGAACAACAACAAAAAGAAGTTATGAAATGACCTTCCATTTGCATAACTGCATAATGTCAAGTGTGCTGAAGCCATGGAAAAGATAAGTGTTAAGAATCTTCACAAATTCTGCCTTCCAACCCCTTTAGTCTGAGTATCTTCTCCTGGATTTTCATAGCAAAACAATTATTATCTAAAAATGGGGAAAGAATTTGGTATTTAATTTTACTTTCAGAAAGTTATCTCTCCAAGTGACCTCACAGAGGAGTAAGACATTTTTCTTATTTTAGAAAAAGAACTGCCTCTGTGAGTGATTTATTTATAAAATAAATATGGCCACCCAAGTTAAACAGCGCAACTCTGGACAGCATACCAAAAAACAACCAGAATAAAACAAGAATCAACAATAATAGTAATAGTAGTAGCCATTACACCAAAACCAACCAATGAGGAGGACTTATGATGGGTCCTCATAGTTGCGGTTGTCGCAGCATCCCTGCAGTCACGTAATCACGAGTGGGGTGCTTGGCATCCAGCTCACAATTATGTTATTGCAGTGTTCTGCCGTCATGTGATCCCATTTGCGACCTTCACTGCCAGCTTCTGACAAGCAAAGTCATTGGGGAAGCCAGTCAAGAGACAAGATTGACTTAAAGGACCATGACAATAACAGTAACAATACAGACATATTCTCCACACCACACAAACTCCTAAACTTTGCTTTTAACACCACTAGCCAAACTGGTACACATACCAGGCTCAGTTGGGCCATAACACTGAATTATAGTGTAGGATAAGCAGTCAAGAAATATGCTGCAGACAAGCATTCAGCAGAGCAGTCATAAAGGCCTTGGAAAAGATATTCAAATGCCGTGATGTGTCTATACCTACAAAGATCAGAATCATGCAGGCCATGGTATTCCCTGTCACACTCAATGGAAGCAAAAGTTGGACTTTAAAGAAGCAGGATAGGAAGAGTATTGATGCCTTTGAAGTTTAGTGTTGGAGAAGACTTCTGAGAATGCTATAGACAGCCAAAAAAACAAGCTGATGGATCACTGAACAAATCGACCAGAGTTCTCACTCAAGGCACAAATGACCACACTTAAATTATACTACTTCAGACACCTTATGCAAAGATCCAGCTCTCTGGAAAAGGCTCTAATGCTAGGAAAGATGGAAGT